TATCTATTTTATATATTAGTGTTGCAAAAATCGTGTCGCTGGCCGCGGCGAGGAAGGCCGGAATCGGCATCCTCAGCGGCCGCCTCGTCGGCTGAACTATATCTATTTTTTAAGTTGTAAAGTGTCAAAAGTTCGGCAAGGCATAACTTTTGAATCCCTTGTCCGTTTTGGACAAATGTTTTTTTGAAATCGCGTATTTTTTCGAGATCTATCCACCGCAAACTGCCGTAGGCGGTTTGACCCACCAATTTCTAAAAAAAAAATACTTTATTAAAGAGTTTCTAAGAAAAAACTATGAGAACCTTATGTTTTATTAATGAATTTTTAAAATTTTTAATTAAACAATTGTCCCGTACATTATTTAATAATCTTTCTTTATAATTGGTCAAATTATTTAATTATGGTAAATTTAGGAATAATTAATGATGGTAATAGAAATCCTAGAAGAATATAGAATTGAACAATATTTAATTATTGTTATATTATTATTGTGACTCACGGAATACAAGAGTTAATGTCATTTTTGGTCCTAGACTTATTGGGGCATTGACACTTTTCATCCTCCATAATAAAAATTGTCACTTAGTAGGCACTGTTATTGATCGTTGGACAGTTTTGATCATCCGTCAATGACGCCGTTTGTTGACCGTGAATGAGAAGGGTTTTTCTGTCTTTTTATGTTCTAATCCTTGTATTTCTCCATCCATTGGTCACTGCTACATCCATTTCTTTAAACTGAGGGTTATCCGCTTCAGTCCTTTCTAACATTAAGAAACCATCTTCACCCAACTAACAATCACAAATTTTACATTTGACATCAATCTCAAGATAATGGAAACAAGTGCAGTTGGAATAGAAAGGGCGTTAGTCCATGCCTGTGGAAATTTTGTCAAGCATACAACATAACTAGCAAAGTCAGGAATATCACCCAACCTCTCCCTTAACCTTTCTGCATCAACTATAATAGGTATGCCCCTACTCTTTGCCTCCTGCACTACAATCAAAGCAGTCTCATGCAGCCTTCCATCTAAGTAGACAATATTTACTCCAAGCGCTGAAGACAGTTTTGATTTGGGTATGTAGACCCTCAGATATCATGGGTGGATATCCTGGAGTGAAAATGCACATGCGAGTTTTTTTTTTTTTTTTTTTTTTGGTTATCAACAATGACATATGTGAATGGTGAGTTTCCTCCTTTGGACACCGCCATAAAAGATGTATCAACACCATCCCTTTCAAGCTCATCAAGTATTCATTCGCCATGCGAGTCATCAGCAACCTTAGATATGATCCTTGGATTAAGACCAAGACAAATTTTATCATCCGGGTTTTATCAAAGCATTGCCAGTGTTACCACCTCCTTGAACCTCAAAGCTGGTGCTCCGAATTTTATCATCCGGGTTGGGGAATGAAGCTATAGCAGCCAGGAAGTCAACACCGGCCATTCCAACACCTCAGACAATGCGATTTTTGGGAAGCGGGCGGATTCCACATTTTCAGCTTGAAACTTCAATGAATTTCAGGTAGAATAACAGAGTTTTTGAGGTTGTGCACCAAGTAGTTGTGGTCAGAGAGAGAGAGAGAGATGTGAAGGATGTTTGTGGTCAATATGGAAGGGAGGACTTACGGTGCAAATTCTACATCACGCCATCTACAACTACAACTGCTATTTACCATAGGAGGGTTCGCCGACCTGCTGCCCTCTCTGCTACGCCGGAACCAAAAACCACCGGTGAAGGCCCCAACCTCGCCGGATCTGTTGCTGCACCGCCAGATCTGCCTTACAGGTCCGTCGCCGGAAGGAGTTACTGCCTCGTATGCTCGCCGTCGTACCCACAACTCGTCGAAGAAGAACCTCGCTGCTACTCACTACCGACGGTTACTACTTAGCCGCCAAGTCTCGCCATCTCACCTCACAGGAGTCGCAGCAGCGCTGGTCTAAACAAGATTAGAAAAATAAGACATAAAAAGACAGAAAAGCCCTTCTAATTCATGGTCAACAAACGACTTCATTGACGGAAGATCAAAACTGTCCAACGACCAATAACAGTGTCTACTAAGTGGCAATTTTTATTATGGAGGATGAAAAGTGTCAATGCCTCAATAAGTCTAGGACCAAAAATGACATTAACTCCGGAATACAATACAAAAATATTTAATTATGGTTATATTATTATTGTGCCCCACGACCATTATATACTAATAGTACTTGAAAAGAAACTAATAATAATAATAATAATAATAATAATAATAATAATAATAATAATAATAATAATAATAATAATAATAATGATAATATAAGTGGTAATAATAATAATATCTAAAAGTAATTAAGTGTTAATAACAATAGTAAGAATATTAACGTAAGAGTTGTAACATAGAATAAATTGTAATAATTAATAACTATAGTCTAGGATTAAATTTGGAATTGTCAGGAAAGATAAACTACCTCTGGTGAAATTAACTCTTAAATAATTATATATCGATTTAAATATTCTTAATATATTACAACAATTCCATTCCGTGCATCGCACGGGTGAAAATACTAGTTATTAGTAATTCTAATTCTCACATTACAAATACCTTAAACCTTAACAAATGCTCTCTTCTCTATCCAAATCGCGACTAAATCATCCACAAAAGATTATATTATTTCTAATCTGTAGTAGGAACTTGAGGTATTATTTAAGTTTTCATCTATGTAAATTAGATTAGAAATACAATTTTACCCTTTGTATGTTGGTGCTGTTTCGGTTTCTGTATAAAGTAACTATATCCATCATAGAAAGGATTAATTAAATATCTCACTAATTAAATGTATTATTAAAACTTCATATTAATTAGGGAGGAAAATAACATATACTTTAAAACTTGAGGATTAAAATTACAATTTTTGCTAAAGTATATAAAGGAAGGAGATGAGTAGATGATGGAGACTCGTTGAAGAAACCATTGACAACATTAATTAAAAGCACACTTCAATTACTCTTACGGGGTGTATTCAATCATGACTTTTGTGGAGTTTTAAAGACTTTTAAAATGATAGATTTTAATAAACTTTGATTGACTTTCATAGAGTCGTTCAAAATTTTTTAAAACTTTATAAGACTATAAAAGTCTATATAAAAAACATTCATAGACTTTTATCAACTTTTTATTTTAAAAAGTATACAAAAGTCATTGAAATTCTAAATTGAATACATCATTACAAACTTTCAATGATTTTGATTCTTATCATTTACAATTTTCTTACAAAAACATTTATAATATATCATAAAATTCTTCTTATTATATAGTTCTTCACCCACATCAACATTTTCAACATTATTATTTTTATCCATAGTATGTTGAGACTTATATGCTAATTACTTAGCTTATATATATTATTAATAAACATCAACAAAAAAAACTATTTCATTAGAAATTCATAACAATATTGAATAATAAAATTTATAATAAAAGACTTGATCAAATAAAATATTTAAAAATATAATTACAAGTTGCATAAAATAAAAAAATAAAAATCCAATATTAATAATATATAGAAAATTATCCTTGATATATTGCTAGGCATCATGCAAAGAACTATTATTTGCAATAGCAATTTGAGACTGCAAACAACAACAAGGTGCTACTGTTTGCAACTCCAAATTGTTGTTACGAACAGTAATTCGCTATTCGTAGTAACCTGTTGTTAATATATATATATATATATATATATATATATATATATATATATATATATTACGAATATAAACATAAAAATAATAAAAATCAAAATATATAAGTATTTATATGAATAGTATGAAACATATACTAAAATTTGACGATGAAAAATTTGCTTTGTTCATGTATTTAGGGAGAATTAGAGAAAGTTAGTGATAAAAAATTCATAGAAAAAAAAAATAAAAACCAATATAAACAAGCAATAATGAAGTAAAAATAATATTATTTCAAATTTTTAGATGAAGATTCTAAAGTTTATGAGAGAGAGAAAAAATTGGTAGAGTTTAGGTATGAGAAAAATATAGGATAATGAAGAAAAAAATAATTTTATTGAATTTAGATAGGTTTATAGAGTTTAAATAGGGAGAAAAAATAGAGTTAAATAGAGAGAGAAAACATTCAAAGTTGTTAGAAAGAAAATTTGAAATCTTGGGGTTGATGGTCGGATTTCAACTATTTATATTGGAGAAGGAAAAGTCTACAAAAGTCTTAAAATTAAAAAGTCTACAAAAGTTCATAACTTTTTGAATACCACATGACTTTTAAAAACTCTTTAAAAGTCTTAATCGAATACCACATGACTTTTAAAGACTCTTTAAAAATTTTGATTGAATACCGCCTGACTTTTAAAAACTCTCTAAAAGTTTGAATTGAATACCTCCAAACTTTTAAAGTTCATAAAAGTCTTTAAAACTCTATAAAAGTCATGATTGAATACACCCCCCTTAAACTAAACATTTTTTCTCTCCTCTCAAATACTCCGTAACATTTTCTTTCTCTCACCCCACCTTCAAAAGGCGAAGTCCCTCACTCACTGGGTCCCCACGCACTCCTAAGCGAAACAAAATTATGGAGATAAATCACGATAACTCAACGACTATTAGGTGAAAATGCCTAAGTGTTCTGATTTTTGATATACTATAAAAACTGCATTTTCTTATTTATTATATTTGAAAATGAACTTATATCTTTAATTTCTTCGTTGTAGGGACACTTGTTATAATATAACCTAGCATATTTGTTGTGCTTCTGCAGTTCTGCCATCCTTTTTTTTTTTTTTGAAAGTTACATCTGTTCATATATTTTCTCAACTTACTGAAACACAAAAAATCAATAACACTTTCACTGAGGCTTGAACTCATAATCTTCCAAATGAAAGTCTAACCCGAGTACCATTAGACCACATAGTCCTGGTGTAATAATTTGAGACCAATGGATTGTAATAATTTGAGACCAATGCAACTATGCAAGCTCATGTGAAGTCTAACCCTAACCCTTGAACTTTATATAATATCAACGTACAAATCAAACCAGTTTGTTCCCATTTGTAGTGTGGGCCAATATGAGCTAAGCTAGCTAGCTCGGACTATTAAATAACCAATCATTATTGTGTGGATAATGGTCCATACAGTTGTATGGATCATATTATCGAATAATGTATATTCAGTACACAAATAATGTATTTTGAGTATATTAAAATGTACATTGCATTCAAAAAAATAACATTATTTAAATACTTAAAGTATATTATTTCGTATAATATAATGTACATTCAATACACAAATAATGTAATTTTAGTATATGCCCGCATGGGTAGTTTAACTGGTCATAGATGTGAATGTTTGGAAGAATGACCAGGGATCGAGTCTCACCCGCGGTAGTGAGGGAGGCTCCTTATGTGTAGTAAGCAAAGGTCCCGGCCGGGGTGTTGTGCTTTGTCAGTGTGGGGGGCCCTTGCTGGTTAAATATAGATATCTTTTAAGTGATTACAAGTGAGTCAGTAATAATGTTATCCCTGTTTCCCTGTTAAAAAATAGCTACAAGGATAAAATATCAAAAGAAATAGAATAAAGAAGCTTAGCAATTAACTTTTAAAATGTCTCTGGGTTAATTGACACATCTAAAATAGAGAGGGACAAAAATTGAGAAAGGAAGGAGTATAATGTGGCTTGGACAACGATTTTTATATCCAGCATATTCTTCTGTCACAATTAATTCAAAACACCGCGACATGACTTCTTCCGGATGATGTCAAATCAAACAATGGATGTGCAGTGCCCCTTTTCATATATGTACAACAAAACTCATATCATGCAAAGGTAGTTGACATGAGAATGGTATTAAAGTTAGAACATGGTGGCAATAGACTCAAGAAAATTATAATGAAAGAGGGCCATGGGACATCCATGTGCTAGCCAAGCAATATATCTGGCTAGAAATTGAACTGGCCTAGCTCTGCATTTGTTAGGGCCCGGCATGGCATTTGCCTACTACCAACTTTCTTGTTTTATTGCTTTTGATACTTGTTGGTGGTTAGGTCAAAAGCAAAGCACCAAAAAGGGCCATATATGTATTATGGGGTGTTTGTCAAATGACTATTAGCTGATTGTTTTGTTGAATGCTACTGACTCTAGTAGAGTATAGTAGTAAATGCCCCCACACGGGGTTCAAACCTGAGACATCTCATTTGAGGGGCCATAGCTATGCTGCTCGACCACAAGACTTTTGTAGAAAAGCTGATAAATGACTGTTAGCTGATAGTTGTTAGCTGATAGGGGTAGTAAGTTTGACTAATTGATAGCATTAGCTGATTGTAGAAAAATATTTGGTAAATTGGTTGTTGATTGCTGATTACATACAAAATGACTTTCTCAAACAGCTAATAAAAATAATACTTTGAGCAATTTTTTAAATTTTAGCATTTTGGAGCAATAAGTTGTTACAAAAAACTAATTAATCAAACACTCAGGGCTCGTTTGGTTCGCTGGAAAATATTTGAAGGGAAATGGAATTGAAATTCCATGGAAAATAAATTCCAAGAAAATAGATTCCATTGTTTGGTTGGTGGAAAAGAAATTACTGGGAATATGAATTCCATTGTTTGGTTGAGTTTGGAATGGTAAGGAATAATGTGTATAATGACAAATATAACCCTACACAACAATAATAATATAATAATAATAAGAGTAATTAATAAAGAATGGTGAGGGTAAAATTGGCATATTAGTTTTCCATGGAAAACCTTTTCCATGGAAAACAAAATACCTAACAAAAGCTAAGAATTTGTTTTCCTTATACTCAAGGAAAACTTTTTCCAATGGAAAATGTTTTCCATCCAACCAAACAACATAAAACATCATTTTCCTTCACTTTTAGGGGAAAATGTTTTCCATCCAACCAAACACCCCCTCATATTGATTGTTTAATCAAGTCAAACAGCTAATAGTGGTCAAATATGTCAAAATTGACTGATAGACTAACTATTTTACCAAACTGTGCCAATATAAAATTTATGTAGCTCTATTATTCATTAATTAATTAATCTAAAACACATTTATTATGCAATCTGCAATCATACACTTGAGTGTTTTGAAAAGAAAGGCATCAAATCGACTTCTAAAAGTTGGAAGATATATGTGTAAGGAAGTGAATGCCACAAAATTTGGATGATAGCGATGTTTGGTTTAGTTATAATCGCTATTTCTTTCTTAATTCACAATTTTACATAATGTCATGCATTTTAGTGAGGGTGAGATAATGTCATGTGAATTCGAATTTTATTTTTACTGACATAATTTTATTTAATTAAATCGTATTAAAGTGGATTATACAGGATTAGTTTAACTTTAATTATGGAGTAATTAATATAAAAAAAAAAAACATGATATTTATTACCGTCATCATTGTAAAATTTGAGTCTATGTGATTAAAACTAAACATTTTTTTTTTTTTTGAACCATCATTTGGTTGGTTGCAATTTGACACATTAGTTAAAGGTTATATGCCAAAAGATTTTAATTTTTTAATTTTTTTTTTTTACTTATGGCCTGGCATTCAAGAGGTGGAACGTTATGCTGTGCTACCTAGTGCACCATGTAAGGCCACCACAATGTTGGGTTTAATTGAAGTTGGATCAGCAGTGAGGAGACGGCGCATGGCGCCGTCGTCGACAAACGGCGTAAACTCAGATTCGAACAACCTATGATTGAGGCCATGATGGAGGCCGGGGATTCTCATAGTATGGAGGAGGTCAGTGAAGTGAGTAATCATAGCCAGGCTATCGCTAGTTAATTCTCCAACCATTTTAAGAAGGTGTTTCATTCTCTCACCGGTGTTCCCCGCGGTGTTCTGGAATGCATCTATGCAGGTTTGCTGGTGAGTGATAGCGCCGCTGAGCCAAACCCTGAGGTCGTTAGCGTATTCTTTGATATTCGTAAGTTTAAAATCCTCGACTTTATCAAAATACCTCGTGAGATCATCAATGGAGTGGCGTAGCACCGCCTTGCACGTGTCGACCGGCTAGAGATTCTGGCATCCTTAGCCGTGGCCTCCTCCTTGAAAAGCTCCGACTTGGAAATGGCGTTGCTGATGTTCTCCACCGCCGTTGGAAATGGGTCATGAATGTTGTTAACGCCGGCAAGGCTCTTCTCACAGGTCTCCTTGTAATCCGTCGGGGCGCAAATGGTTTTCGGCGACTTTGTTGCTGCTGAAATCAAGCCGTTGATTTTATCATCTAGATTTCTTGGAGATAAAATCTCGCCGCCGAAACTAGAAACGACATCGTCAATGGAGCCTCTGTCGTGATAAGGGAGAGAGCCTCAGTCAATTGACCGTCCCACCCAACCCCCCCCCCCCTCCTCCCAAATAAACAATTTTAAAATATTTATGTTTTTCCGGCAACATTTTGCCGGTGATTTGGCCGGGAGGACCAAATGTGTTAAAAATTGCATAGTTATGGAACTAAATTGATAGTTTTTAAAGTCGAGTACTCAAATTAACAACACTCCAATAGTCACAGGACCAAAAGCGTAATTTTCTCTTATGAACATATAGTTCAGTAATTATGAACATAGAATGGTGCACACGGTTGCACAACATAATTTGCCACAAGAGGTTGACATGGTGTACTATTTTCAAGAGTTGAGAAATCTCCGACAATGCATGCAATTGCATTAAAAATTTAATGCTTTTACTAATTGTCCAAAGCTACTGAGTTGAAAAGATTGTTTTAAGGGGGAATCAAGGATTTGGTCCCTCAATTGTTGGATTTCCTTAGAGTATCTATAATAGTGAAAATATTTTGTAATTTTTGAGGAGTTTTTGTAAGTATGATTAGGAAAGAGAATTTGGGAGGCGAGAGAAAAAAGAAAAAATAAATAAAACAAAACTAATTAAAAAAAAAAACAGTATATCAGAGTGCCTGACTCGCCCAGTAGGCGCGTGCATTGCACGCGTTCGCTAGGTGCAGGTGTGACAGACTGACAGTCATGCGGTGATAATGGTGCTCTTACAATTTAGCTTATCCAAAATTGGATAATAATGTAAAATATAGAGATAATGCCACATGGAGTTCTCCGAGCATAGTGATTTTGACACGTTTGGTGCTATTGATTCGCGCGGGTATATCTGTTTATGTTTGTATTCAATGTCTTTATTGTGTACCGCTTCTGATTGTAATTGTGCATTTATTGTATGTGCATGTTAATAGTAAGCATTGCGGTTCTGATGGATGGAATGGTTTAGGGGGGTTCTTTTTTACTTTAATTTTTTTAATGGGTTTTTAAATATTTTTGTAGCAGTGGATAGCCTCACTTTTTACTCTGTGTTAATTAATTTTAATTTTTTTTAAAAAAAAATAGTGGTGTGTGGTGTGTGGTGTGTGGCGTGTGGCGTGTGTTTTTTTTTTCCCCCATATTTTAGTCTTTTTTTTTTTTTTTTTTCATTTTCTGTTTGTTTTCTGTTATTGCGTGTGCAGGGCAGTCAGAATCTCTACAAGCTTGTGTTATGGACGTGTCTCCGGGTGGGACTAAGTATTGGAATCCTTCATGTGACGAGTATGGCCATAACAGTCATACTTGTCCGTTGCGCAAGGAAAAACTGTAATCCTAATATAGCAATGAAATTATAATCTTATTTTGGTTTAAGCACATTTGTTTTTGTTTTAATTCTCCATGCACTTTTACTATTCTGCAATTTAGTTTGTTATTAAGACAATGGCTTTGAATTGTTGTTCTAAAAATTTTTGTAGTTTAATTTGGTAATATCACAATGGTAAACCACAGCATTGTACAAACCTTACATGGACAGTTCAACATACTTACACATTATAATACTTTACAGATGCACAACTACTGACTCGTGAATAACCAGAAAATCAGAACTATATGATTAATTAATGTTTGTTAGGTTCCTTTCAAAAAAAAAAAAATTTATTATTTGTTAGGTGATGCTAAAAATTAATGTTTTCCCTTAAATTCGTACTTTTAATATGCAATCCTCAGGAATGCACAGTCTGCCACACGCTTAATCTTAAAAATAAGAACCTATCCAGTAATCCACATAACTACATTTTGCATCTTTTTACACTGGTGAAACTCGCGGATGCACAACCGCTGACCCTTTTGTCATAGGAAAAAAAAAAAACTTACTACAATACTTGATTAATCCATGACTGTCTACAAGACTTGATTCTGCATACTTGCACACTAGTCAACCATATGCATGCACAACTGCTATCATTTGCATTCGGGAACGTACTTCTCATTTTTTCACGTTACTTGCAATTACAAATAAATAAACCCATTTCGTATTCAAACTAAGCTTAAAACTTTAAGTAAATTTCTCATTTCAAACGTAACACATTTTAATCATCTTAGACCTCAAGTATTAATTAGTCGGATTGTAGTTTACATAGTTCGTGGCATTTACAAACATTAGCATTAGTAAAAAAAAGTTTTAAAGTACTACAGTCACTTCAATATAGACCACGTCATCAAAATAATCATGTTCAGCAATTTGGTGTCATAAACTGATAGGAATATTTTTGTAATAAAGTTTGGATGAGCCAAATGTAATTTTAGATCCCCATTGACTTTACTCTTCTGTATAAAGCATCATAGTACAAATAGTTAAGCCAAAAAAAGCCAAGAGATAAAGTCTACTACATGCTGGAATTTATAGAAGAACAAAATTAATTTGGAAGATTAATTTTGGTCCTACAAGTATTTGCCCTAGAGATCAGTTGATAATCATTGTTTTCACAATGGTTAACTGAATGGGCTAATGGCGTTATGGTAGAAGACTTTGCATTTGTTGTTACACACATGATTGAATCCCCTTAAAGACTTATTTTTTAAAGCCAAAACTGAAGGAATATACTTAGCTTAAATTCATGGTCAAAGAAGCAAGGAGACCAAACAAGCAAGATGAGACTAATTCACGTCAAGCAAGAAGCTAAGTGATCAAATTGTTCCAAGCAAGAAGGCGGAACAAGCAAGATGTGGTTTATTGACTTCAAGCAAGAAGTTGAAATGCACAAGATGAACATCTGAGATGCACAGATGAGAACTATATAAAACTGTATTGAATGAACTTAGATTACAATTGTACAGACGGGGGGAATATATACAAGAGGAATAATTAGGAGACTAAAATAGGGAGTCATACTATGACTCAAATACAAGAATCCTAATACTAGTCCTAATACTCCCCCTCAAGCACATGGTACACTTGTAACTTGTAGCTTGTCTCGGAGAAAAGAAAATCTAGGACCAGGCAAGGATTTGGTGAATTATCTACAAATTGATCTTTTGTTGAGATGAAATTTACTTGAATCTCTCCAGTAGCAACTTTATCTCGCACAAAGTGATAATCTATCTCTACATGTTTGGTGCGGGCATGGAAGATGGGATTGGCACACATATATGTAGCTCCAAGATTATCACACCATAATTTGGGAACCGAAATCCCTATAACACGGATTTCACGTAGAAGAGGCATGATCCAAATTACCTCAACACAAACATATGCTAAAGCTTTATATTCAGCCTCAGTAGAAGATCTAGCAACAGTTCTTTGTTTCTCGCTGACCCATGATACAAGATTAGATCCAAGAAAAACAGCAAAGCCACTTGTGGATTTTCTATCCTCTGGACAACCGGCCTAGTCAGAATCAGAGAAGACATGAATTTCTCTTGAAGATGACTTCCTGACTTGTAGGCCAAAATTAACAATTCCTTTAACATACTGTAATACTCTCTTTAGTTGTTCCCAATGAGTAACTGTAGGCGCATGCATGTGTTGACATAACTGATTGACTGCAAATGACAGATCAGGACGAGTGATGGTTAAATATTGTAATGCACCCGCCAAACTCCTGTACTAAGTAGGATCATCATGTGGAGTTGCGTCAATGGGAATAGATTTTGACGTGGAAATGGGAGTGGACAAGGACTTGCAGTATGTCATTCCAGCACGTTTTAAAATATCATGCATGTATCTCTGTTGGGAAAGTAAAATCCCATCATTGTATTTAATTGCCTCAATTCCAAGAAAAAAAAACC